CAAACAAAACCACACCCTTCCTCAATTCACCACATCCACGACCTCATTTGGGTCTGGTAGAGTATAAGCAGCGGCTAATGTTTGCTTACTTTAGATATGGCAGCCTAACTGTCATTGCTGAACAAGTTTGCCAACTTTATGACTCCTCTCATAAAAAGGGGGAAGATATGGACACAGAAGAGCAGAGATATGACTAATAATGATAACAATATTAAAGTAATGGGCATCAAGCAAGACCACAAACCAAGATCCCTGATCACAATGAGTCTTCTCTCATTGAATAGGAGAAAGTACCCGATGGTCTCATAGTAAAGCTCAGGACCTTAACCAAACATTTGTCACAAGAACCAGTTAATCATAATTTTCCCACATTAAACCGAAATATACCAGTCAAGTCAAAAACCTCACCTGTGTCCCTTAACGTTGGTTTGAGACGTGGACAATTTTAAACCTAAAGTAGACGCAGAAATCTCTCTGATGGAACATTGTTTATGTAGGTCATATAAAGCCATCAGTATTAAATTGAGACAGTTTCATAACCAGTTAGAAAGTCCATGTACGTTTAACAAATGACACAAGGCAGGTTTAATGCATATACTGTAAACTTTATCTTCTAACAAAAGGTATTGCATCAACAAAATAGTTTTAACTTCACAAATCTCTCTTTACTGTCAATTCAATCTACATAGAACATTTTTTCTTTAGTTTTTTTTTCTCTCTCTCTTTTTCAAAATTTTTACTTTTTTTTTTTTCATTTTTTTCCCTCCTCCAGAAAGTCGTTGACATCTGGAAAAAACATGGACATGGTTAAGTCTTTTGCGGTGATATTCGATGTCTGCAACTCAGCACATTTTGTATGAAGCACAGCTGTGCAGGATTCTTGCTGAATTTTGGGCTTAATTTTACAACAGTCGAAGCCCAATTCCCTGATCTTTCACTCAATTTAATGTACTTTCCTGGAGTAAACAAGTCTTTCATTTAACCAAATAAGCAAATACTGTAGCTTGATACAAATACAAAAAAACATCTGGGATTGAGGGGAGCAAAGACGAGTTTTCCACAACAAGACATAATTAGAAAGAAAAAAAAAAAAAAATCAACTGAAAATCTTAATGGTCTAATCTTAACCAATGAACCTTAATTAAGCATAAATGAGCATTGCAGTCAATTATAAAACACATACTTGCTGTAAGGGATCCTTTCACAGCTGTCTCTCAACAGAGGAGGAGAAGTTGTTTCTGACCTGAAAGGGCTCTTCACTTCTTCGGAGAGCATTCCTTCACCTGGTGAGCCTGCAGGACAGCGATCGCCTCGTCCACCTGACCAAAGGAGAGGAAGAAGATCATTCGGTTACGCCGGTCTCATCATCTATACCATTCCCATGTCTGTATGGTGAATATGAGACGCATAGCTTAGCATTAGGACTAGAAGATGGGGGGAAAAATAGACAACACAACTTGAGGGTGCTGGTCTCAGATCTAAGAATTTCGTCTTGTAATCTGCCCCATCCCTTAATGGCAACTATGTAATGGTAAGACTATCAGACAGTCTGTTAAACGTGAACATAACCATGCCTTAGAGTGCAGGGACTCTGGCGTCTCCAGCATGTGCAGCAGCTCAGAGTTGTCGATCTCCAGCAGCATCCCAGTGATTTTTCCAGCCAGGTTTGGGTGAAGGGTATGGATCAGTGGGTACAACCGCTCTCCTATCACAGCAGAGAGAGGGTTAGCAACCAAATACACAAGTCGCTTTAATCTGCATAAAAACAAAGAGAACAAAAAAGGAATGACGCCAAACCGAGAAGCTGTTTCTGATCCATGAGTGGAGCTGCAGCCAACATCGAGGCAGTGAGTGGCTCTTGGCTTTGAATGTGCACCGGTGGCTCCATCATAGGTGCTGGAACAACCTGGAGAGTATACAGGGGTGCAAACCTGTCACCTTTCTGCCAAAATCTGCGTTCTGAATCCAAGATAGGTCATTTGTGCGATTCGTGTCAATCCAATAAGCCTGATACGCAAACGCTAGCCATCACAGTTTGGATGTAACACTAGTTATGTCCATGGACTCCCAACGTCAGCTGGTGTACTTGTTACTCCAAATTCCACTTGTATAACATTATTCAAGCTCACCAGCCAAAGTGCCAACTTAATGTTAATGTTGGTTCTATTTTCTTCATGCTAAGATAATATTAGCAAGCTTACTACTGTCATAACCACAACGTAATCAAATTGTTTTTGGATGTGTTTTGGAGCATGAGACTAATTCATGAGATGACTGTGTAGAGATTTAACTAACATGGACCTATGGTATTTATGATGCAAGATGGTTAAACAGAAAGCCTGATACAGTAGCGTTAGCCTAATTATGTAGCTCTACAATTAGACAGTTCAGTACAGACTGAAGTACCTGTAGTCTCGTCATTGGTCCAGGTATAGTAATGACCTGCTGGACGTTTCTCACTGCAGATGAGTACTTGTACTGGCCGCCCCTTGTCACACCAGGCACGTCAGTACGCCCTCCTACAGTCTGGGTCCCAATGTTATCTAAATGAAGACGTTACACCCGTCAGATGCTACCATGCATGTAAATGGCACATTGTTCGACGAATGGAGCCTTTCGTGTTATCGCAGATCTGTTACTCACTTGTCTTTTGTGTGGAGCTCACGATGCGCGGAGCCTGGGTGGAAGCCTGTCTGACAGTGGCGATCGGGGTCGATCCGCGTCTAGGGGCTGAACTACCGACAAACTGGGTTGTGTAGGGGCCTAACAACATGGGAGACGACGTTTATACACACTGCGATTGAACCGACATCCATGTGAACATAAAACAAAGGATCCTTTTACCCGGTAGTCTGGGTGGCTGCCCTGTCCAACGTGGCACTGGTCTCATGTTGCTGACAGCATTGTGGTTGTAGAAGGAGCGAGCGGGAGGCTGCAAGATAAATATTAGTTAATCGAATCACATTGCAGGTCAACCACCGAATCAGTTACTTGAAGGTACTGTGAGGAAATTTTTTTTAAATAATAATATCACTCATAGGGATTCATTTAGCTCTACAAATTAAAAAGTTGACAAAAAAAAGACGTTTGTGATTTCAATGTGATGAATTTTACATTGTTCAAACGTCCATACCTGTGGTACGGTCATGTAGTATCCAGTCTGCTGGTACGAGTCAATGATCGGACTTGTCATGGTCCTCAGGGTAGCAAGTCTCTGCATGTATTTATTGGTCAGGATTGCTTTCCGCTCCTCCCTCCGCTGAGCCAGAGCCACGTACAGTGGCTTGGTCGCAACTATTCTCCCGTTCATTTCAGTTACTGCTTTTGTTGCTTCCTCAGGTGAAGAGAAACAGACGAAGCCAAAGCCCTTGCTTTGGGAACCGTCTGTCATCACCTACAGGAAGCAAAGAAGCTCAAGTTCAGAAACGTATCAGATTTGTAGACTTAAGATTTGTATGTTTTTATGCTCGCGCTGTATGGATCAACTGACCGACCACAACATGGGCTAAACATTAACACTGAACCCCTGGTCGGTTTTGTTCAGTGACAGTTCCAACGAAGCCTATTTAAACCCGACGACCGCATCCTCAGACAAAAAGAAGGAAAGGCAGCATTATTTTATGTAATTCAACTAAGAACTAAGAAGAGAGTTGTTATAAAAAATATGGAGCTGCGGATGCCTGGAAGATGCAGACAGTCTGTCAGAAATTCAACTTTTCTGATTGTCTATCGTTGACCGTTCGACAACCACTCTGGCAGAAATACAACCCGATTCTAAAATTAATTCAATAATTCAGGCTTAATCTGTACAGTGTCTACAGGGGGGAAATACTTATCCCTTTAGGTTTTTTTGGGCAGGCTTTGTGTTGTAGTTTTAACTTATAATCCTACCTCTGATAAAACTACAAATGCAATGATTGTTACATGTGTGCTCAAGTCTTATCTCATCACATTACCTTGGCACTGGTGATGGTGCCGTAAGGGGCAAACTCCTTCCGCAGCCTCTCATCATCTATGCTATCATCCAAGTTCTTCACATACAGATTCACCCCCTGGAAACACAAAGAGTGAGAAATGTTCACGCTTCCAAACCATTCTGACACCAGGAAATAACCTGTTAATGAGTGAGCTTCAGAGGCGTTAGTAGTTCGGTTTAGGTACCTTTGGACAGAGTCAAACTAGCTGTTTCTAGTCTTAAACTTACCAGCTATCCTGTACCTTTATATTGACGTACACAGATGTATCAAAAGCCTATTTTTGGGCTATTTTTACAAAGTTAATCTGTTGGACTGAGGGATGTGTGTTACTGATTCCAGGAGTATTTAAGTTGCCAAGTTTAAAAAAAAGAAAACAAAGACAGCACTGGGACAAGAGCCACTCAAAACTGAAAATCTAATTCATTAAACTGTGGGCTATTCAAAAAAACATTTTTGGTGTAGCACTCTGCTCTCTGGTTTATATAACAGTTTATATAATAGGACAGAAATGAATTAACCCCTTGTACCATCTGTCTACAAATTATTTGGGAAATTGCCATCTTTGTTGTTATAAATGTCATGATCTGCAACGCTGCCTAAACTTGTGTGACTCCCTTTGTAACCTGAAGCTCTCTCAACGATAATCACTTCAGTAACCGCTTTAAATCTGTTTCTTAATTTGAAGTGTAACTGTAAGCAAAGGCGTTGTGCACTCAGCTAACCTACTTTGTATAAATACAAACATATATAAACTACTAAGGTAAGCCCTCCATTGTAAACACTACTGAACCGTTCATTTATTTCCAAATGTCAACTCTAAAGATGTAAATGCAAGATCATTAACAATGCGAGTCATTAATAAGCCTCCAAATGACAATGCACATATGCGAACAATGGTTCAGCACCTGATAGCGCTGGATCCGGTCCTGTTTGATCTGGTCAAACTTGCGCTTGAGCTCTCCTTGGCGCTCCTGCCGCTTCTGAGCACGACCTGCATAGATGACTTTCCCATTGATCTCCTTTCCATTCATTTCATCAACTGCCTGGGAAAACCAGAGGAGCATCAACGCGTTACTTGTGTGATTTTTCGTATCAACACTGAATCAATTAACCCATCAACACTGTGGTGGTATTATTGGTGTGTGTAGCCAACTTGGCTGTAAAATAGAAAGTCAATGCTGCAGGTTCCGTCTTAATGTCAATATAATTAACTGTTTCTGTTGGCAGGCACCCAATTCAAGCGGACACAGAAACTTGGCACGCGCTACCTTCTGAGCATCCTCGTGGTTAGCGTAGTTCACAAAGCCGAATCCTCGTGAATGGCCCCTCTCGTCCTTCATCACCCGCACACTGAGAGTCCTCCCTGAGAGTTTGAGCACAAACCAGCCTGTAACTATCTGATATGCATAGAAATGTAATATGTTACCGACTGTTGCAATCAATTTATTGGAGGAGAGGCCCCTAACTGAGTAGAAAGAATAAAAACATTACGCTTTCTTACCAAATGCAGTGAAGAGTTCCTTGAGTTTCTCATCAGTGTAGTCTTCACCAAAGTTTTTGATGTAGACATTGGTGAACTTCATAGCTTTGGTCCCAAACTCCACCTCTCTTTCCTTGCGGGACTTAAAGTGGCCGACAAAGCTGAGGATAGAACCAAACACCATCACCAAGAAACAATGAGGAAGAGATAAAAGAAAGCAAGTTAGTTAAAAACTTGACTCTGCACAGTGATGATAAAATGTGACTTCGGATTCAGAACACAGTCTCAGAAAACACCACAGGACAACTGATCAGGACAGAAATCAAGAACAAAATGCGAACAAGCTAAGACAAAAATAATCATCAACTCAAGCTTTTAGTCAAATTTTAATACATCTTTATTTCTCCTACACTGTAGGAACATAATAGACTTCTGATGATCCTGCTTTGCCTCTCATCTTAAATTACTATATACACACAAAGAGACAACAAATCTAGACAGACATCCTACCTACTCACTGACCTAAGAATGGACAACTGACATTTTTCTCCCAGGAAATGGGCCTTTGCGTTGACAATGCCAGATTCCAAATGATTACGTGTCTTTTGACTGAGCAAAAAAGACACATGGAACAGTCATCTGCAAAAAGTCTGTGGCGTCTTCAAGAGTTATCAGTCATCAGCATTCAGTAACAGTTTATATAGGTAATATACACATATACACATTCTGCACTCATCTTTGCCTGAACTTGCTTATTTTAGATTGCATTTTGTTTGATTGCACCAGTTTTTTTTTCCAACGTATTTAGTTCACTCACACTTTCCTATCGTTGAGCAGCATCCCATTCATGGTATCAATGGCACGGTTCGCAGCCTCATGAGTCTCAAAGTGAACAAAGCCATAGCCTTTGGACCCTTTCTCATCACAAACAACCTACAACAGACAAAAGGCGTCAAAATCACAGATTACAGAGCTTCTGCTGCAGAACAGCAGCTTGCATTTGAGTTTTTAAACCACGTATGCCTGTAGTTTGGTCTGGGTGATAATTCTATTGTGTCATAATGATATGATCATCATGTTACCGATTTAAAAAATTCAGTTGTCCAAAATAAATATTTTAATTAAACATTAAATTAGATATTTAGATTTATACAAAGGGTTCACTGCACTGATCATAAGTTCATAGCGTTTTGCATACATTTACCACCTCAGGATATGTTGCTTAATGTAACATTTACATTAATGTTGTGACGCTGATTAAAACCATACTGTACAGCCCTACTCTTCTATACAAGTGTTATCATGACAACATTGCTTGTAGGAGATAAGTGTTTTATCAAACATCTGCTAAATATTACATTAGCTTCATTCACACTGTACAAACAAACATCTTTCTAAGACCAGAGAGCTACGACAACCACTCAGTAGTCAAAAGGGCCACTGACCTTGCAGGACAAAATATTGCCGAAGGCTGAGAAGGTGTCATACAGTGCCTTGTTGTCAATAGACTCATCCATGTTCTTGATGAAGATGTTTCCCACG